CCCCTAAATTTTCAGCTTCCTAGCTTTTGTGGTTCCCGAGTTGAAAGTTGCGGATAAGTTGCTGCGACACACACACACAAAAACACACACACACAGACAACCCCGTGACAATATGCGTTTTGTACTGCTGTTACGCAGTGCTGTTACGCAGTACAAAACGCATAAAAAAATCCACGCCATAATGGGCAAAGGAAATATAAATCATTGGTACCTCCAGCCGTTGCAGGAGTCTTACATCACACCTTGGTTTAATCCGACTTAAATTTTTTTCAAATATAAGTTATTTTACTGATTTTAGAACGATATAACGTCTACGCTGTCGTGTCAACCATCATCAAGTAAGGATTTGTTGGTGAAGAGATTCAATTATCACTCAGAACGGGTTTTGTTGACCACTGCCGAGAATAAGGCAATTCCTGATGCCGATTTGGAGGAACCATCAAATGCGGGAAATGTAAAAGTATGAGATTTAATTCGCTTTTCGAATTTTGAGCCAGTTTACGACTTTTCGAGAATTTGGAATAGATATTTGCTTTCATCAAGCACGAATATTTCTAGGCTATATCATACTTCTGCGAATTCCGCCTTTCTGAGCCCGTTTTCCCAGATTCTAGAATTATAAAAGTTTCTAAAAGTTTTTTTTTGTGGATTTTGTAAAAGTTTTTTTAAAATAATAGACCAACAAGATTGTACGCAAGCCATGTGTAAGGTGTTATTTTATGGTTGAAGTTTTTTGTGAATTATAAAAGTTTTTTTGTAGATTTTGAAAAACTCTCACTGCTTTTGCGTATTTTTGGATTTCTTTTCAGAACGATGGAGCAAAAGTAAGAGAAGAGGGCGAAGATGAAATAATGCTGGAAAGTGAAGAGTTGAGGTTTGACAAGCATGAAGAGCAGGTAGACTCAATTTCGTTTGCCCTCGGTGATGTTATCAGGCCAGCGAAACGTTACAGCGATGAAAAAGCGCAAGCTTATCGAGATTCAGTGCTGAGGATATGTGAAACCATGCAAAGCGAAGAAGATTTTGATGTAAGTTACCGAAAACAACAGTGCTTTATTCAAAAAAAAAAAAAAACAATCCGATGATGAGGGAAATTCGGCAGCAGCTCCAAGCTGCCGTCGCACAATACCATTCGAACAAAAAACAGTCACTCTTCATTTCTAATCACATTATCTAAATATCACGGAGGGGGAACTCGAGTCATGAGACGGAACATTTGCACGTGAAGTTGAAGGACAATTGAGTAAGTCTAAGGGGATTTT